TTAAGTGGCCTTAATGGTGCAGTTTTTAAAAACTGTCATGCTGATTCTAACAGAGGAAATAGAAGATTTTCTCAAGAGGAAAGGAGAAGTAAAATTCAGTGGTTTTTCTTTAAACCTTGGTCCGTAGGTTATGGTATAGACAGGAGCAGTGAGGAAAACCCTGTCCATAAGCTTTTAGTAATGTCTTCTTCAGAACTGAGAGCCAGGAAAAGAAAGACCATGGTTGAGTGAAATTAGTCCAAGAGAACCTACTGCTATTAAGCCAGCCTGTATTTTCAAGTAATTGATTTTTTTCCTTCTGATATATGACTCTGCAGAAATCCCAGCTGTCTTCTAAGATAGCTCAGATGAATCTCTGTAATAAATCATCCTGTAAACAATGGTGAGATACCTTTTTTTTGTCTAATAAATTAGCAAAAATAAAAAATGTGATGTTCATACCTTATGTTGTCAGAGGTTTGAAGAAATTGATATGCTCAGATATTGTGCTAGCAGCATTGAAAATCGATTAAGGCCAAGTTTTCATTCTGTCACTGTGTGATGCGTGCTTCAGTTTTCTCATGTGGGAAATGAAGGTATTGGACTGGATAAGCCATTCAAGTTAATTGAATCATGGTCAGTCAGGGTCATGTGGATAGTATATGGCAGCTCTCCCAACTTTCCCAGAGTCTCTCAGAAAGGGAGTCTGTTGTTCAGAAAAGTTCCCCTGGAGATTCTGATTAGGTGTCATAACATCCTCTGACATTGAGAACCACTGAACTAGAGGACCTCTAAGATCCTTTTGATTTTAATTGTCTAGAATTCTGTGGTCAGAGAAGAAAAACTTCTAAGTAGGAAATGAAGGAGACATACTTGAACTTAAGCAAAAACAGGACCCTGTTGACAAAATTAGGGTACGTTAATTCTATGTTTTCTTCAAAGTGAATAGCGTAGCTAGAGATTCTTGTACAAGTGTACAGAGACTTATGTGCAAACATCTTCATTGTGACATTGTTTATAACAGAAAAAAAAAAAAAGTAAAACAGCCTTTTTCAGCAGGAGGAGACAAGA